TCGCACAGGTAATAGGGGTTAGATGTTTTCACCTTTTAAAGTAATTTAACAACAATCTTTTTTTAATCACAGTCGCTACTGTTTTAGGACAACCAGAAGGAGATGCTAGAGAAAGCAAGGGCACAGTTTGGCAGAGCTGTGGCGGGGAACACCCTCAGAGCCTGTGGGGAGCCTTGGATCACTGTAGCGGTCTCCCACAGTGCTTTACAAAAATTACTGCCTTGAAGGTGAGACATGTTTGGTCCTCCTAAGTCTCTTACCAGTTCTGCACAACACATCTGCTAGTCTAGAACTTAACTAAATACATTCTACTTTAATTTCAGTTTTTCTAAAGCTGGATGGGAATACCAGTGAAGATCCTGGATGGCTCTCAAGTGGCCTGTTGTCTACTTCTCTGAAGGCAAGTGGGGTATCATAGCAGCAGGTTGTTACGAAGTTGACATGGGTCTTTGCTGTAACAGTTATCATATACAGAGTCAGGGCTTCAGTTGTTTTGCATATTTGGCCAAGGGAATATCCAACTCAGGATAGTAAAAAAAGTTTATCTTGACAGCTGGCAAAAGCTTCACTTCAGAGCAAGACTTAATTCAATTTTCTACTGCTGCATAGATTGAGAAGTGAAATACAGAATCACTGACTGGTTTGGGTTGGAAGGGACCTTAAAGCCCATCTAGTCCCACCCCCCTGCCATGGGCAGGGACACCCTCCACTAGACCAATTTGCCCAATGCCCCATCCAACCTGGCCTTGAACAATTCCAGGGATGGGGCATCCACAACCTCTCTGGGCAACCTGTGCCAGTGTCTTACCACCCTCACAGTAAAGAATTTTTTCCTTATCTCTAAGTTTACCCCCTTTCAGTTTAAAACCATTACCCCTCATCCCACTGCTACACGATAGCTTTGTGTGACACAAGTGAAGTAACATACCCTCAATGTACCACAATAAAAGAAGTGTTAGGAAGTCAGGTTTTCCACCAGAACTTATAAATTAAAAATACAGATCTCACCATTTTATTAAAACAGTCACTGACAGTTTGTAAAAAAAAAAAAACAAAAACCCCAAACAAAAACCCCCAAAAACCTAACATATATCAAAGCTTCAGGCCAGAAACGGGAATTGAAAGAGCATCCCCCCGCCCCAGACACTGCAATACAAACTTTAGTTTGTTTGATTTAAATTGGCTTAATCTTGAAATGTAGTCCAATAAGACTGAACACTAGACACTTAAGGTCCTGGACCAGGTAGTAGAACACTCTCAAGCCTTCTGGATCCCTGCAGTGCACAAGAGAAGGAAGGAGGAAAAAAAAAAAGTTAGATTGATGTTTTAAGAGAACAGTTTATAGAACTAACTCATTAAAAAAACCCCAAAGCCTACAGGGAGATTTTTCAGAGGTTATCTTAGACGTTAACAGACTTGTTTCATCTTGCATGGATTGGTAAAACATTCTACAGTACAGGTTTACAAGTGTGCATTTTTATCATGAAAGCAGGTAGTAAGATTCCTTTGGATTTACAAAACATGACATCCAGTCTTTTCAGCTTAGGTGAATTATAGAAGTCATGGTTCTCCTGCCGACATTGGTGTGGACAGGCCGACGACAGCTGAGTTCAGACTCCAAACACGCCTAACAGGGGTTCTACAGTAAGGTTAGTTGCTCGGTGAGTTTGAAAATACAGCATGTAACGACAAGGTGTAAAAGCATTTGGTACATTACACAGGAACATGGATCACTTGTGCCCCAGCAACTGATTTGTACTTTGAAACAATACAAAATACAAGTACCTAATAACCAGCGAGTTCCAATACCCATTGTTCTGTGAAAACCAACAGCAACATAAAAAAGCGGAGTACGTACTTGGATTGATTTACATCAATGAGTGAACCAATTTTTGACGTGGTAAAGGAGATGTGCTCATCACCGATTACTATTTCAAGCTCCTGAAAAATAAAAGATTACAGGAAGTCAGACTACCCCTTTATGGTATTAGTTTCAGAAATACTTAAGTACTGCGATGATGGCTTTTCCATTTTTATTACGAAGGTATTGAATGCAGCGGGTATGGGAATCGCATTAACTCTCACAACTAAATTGCCATTTAGGCACTGCTCAGGTTTTAAAATACTACTTGTTTCCCCCTTGGCTAGAAACAGTACTGGTGTGAAGAAAGAGTTCAGTCATGTTTCTAATGAGCTAACGTATTAAATATAAAACAGCAAACAGACACTGTACACTGACCTGTCGACCCACTCTGTCAGGAGGAGGCCACAGGGCGTCATCTTCTTTTGTGATTTCACTGTCGTCTATTATTCTCTTCAGCTCCTCCATCACGCTCTTATGCACGTAAGCCTACGAACGACATTCCAAGATGAAAACCCGAGGCCAAGCGCTGCCGCCGTGACTCTGCTGGCAGGAGGCACACACGAGCGCTTTGCTTTGCCGGCTGCCGTCACGGCACCCGCTCTAGGCGCAGGGTCGGGAACCCGCCGGCTCCCCCTGCGCCGGCCGCCTCTCCCTTACCTCCTTTCGGATCATGACGTCGTTCTTGTAGTTGCTGTTGTTGGCGTAACGCAGCTTCCCTGGCGAGGACAGGACGGACGTTAAACGCCAGCCAGGGCAGCGCTAGGCGGGCACCGCTCCTTGGCGGCCCC